CTGTTTCTGGCGGTGGTGATGGTGATGGCTATGGAAGGGAAATACAATGGGAAGTAATTTTATTGAATCGGTTATGTGGATCAGTGTGCAATGGCCACATTTCTGTTTTTTTTTTCGTTACTTTTTTTTCGTATTAGGAAGAAGGGGATTAAAGGGGACGGAGAGAAGGATGATGACATTTTCCACTGTTGGAGAGTTATTGGCCCAGAGAAGCCAAAGGATTTTTGGGACAGGAACGACTTTGGAAGCACACTCGCACATACGCAGATGAGAAGAACACTGAACAGCAGTTGCTGTCTAAAAAAATAGCATCATCATCATAGCTTCTTCCTCTTCTCCTGTTGCCTTATCCTCATAGCCTGTTGCTTTCGCAAGGCAAAAAAAGTAAAGTCATAGAAAAAAAACAAAAAAATAAGGGCAGAAAATAACGGGACAATGTCGCGCTTCCTAAGAAATACCAAAAACCGAACGTATTATCTGTCGTCAACATATGCATTCGCGATAAGCATATTTTATCCTCGCCGTTAGCGAATATTTAGGCTTAGAATTCCGTTGGCTCCCTTCTATTTATTCCAGCCAAAGTTGTGTCCCTTCGCATTTCTTCAGCTGCCACGGTATTTCTCATTTGTCATTGAATATCTGATCGTTCTACTCAGTTTCTCACCACTTCCTACGGTATCCCACCAGTACAAGCCATATCCCATACTCAAAAACTGTATTTCAGCAATAGTTTTATCGTTACTTTTCGGTTGGCTGAGAATTGTCGCTGAATAAATTCTAGATTGATTTGGTGGTCGCCCAATTTAGTGTACACTTAGTTATTCCAGCACTTAAATCCTACCCCTCCAACATTTCTACAAACAACGACTGCACCAAAAAAGGACAAAAACACTTTAAATTCAATCAAAAGTATGCTTATGTCTTCCTAACAGAGGGAAAAAAAAGAAGAGGAAGGAAACAGCTTCCATCTCATAAAGCCACTTATTCAAATTCAGTACTTTCGTTTTTTTTTCTGCTTCTTTCATTCTTTGCTGTTTTTGTTGTCTCTTTTTGATGAGAAAACCAAAAATAGAGTAGAAAAATGAAGCAAAAAAAAAAAAAAAAGGAAAAGCAGAAGTGAAATAAAAAAACTTTCATTTTATTAATTGAATTACTTTGTGTGTGTGTTTGTAGGCAGGAATAATTAGGCTTTTGATCTGAACAACAGAGATTTTAGGGTGCTGCTTTTTCTTCTCTGCTTTTTTCCAAGCTTTTTATTCTCATTGCATTTGAATTTTGGTGGAATCTAAATTGTTGAACCACAAAGTGGAACCGAACGCTTTTTCTTTTACCATTGTCTTTTTTTCATAAAATCTGAACATTCTGAACGTTATTTTAAATGGCACAGATATCAATTAAGGAAAATAATCTAAAGAATCAGTCCATCCAGATATGTATTGCCTTCCACCATATACGGCAATCAGTAATGACGCCCCCTTCTACCACCCCCCACCTTCTACTCCGTCCCCTTCTCCTCCTCTACATCTGGCAGCCCTCGGTAACCATCGTTCATGTTCCGCTTTTCTGGAATTGAAAAAAGATAACAGAAAAAAGATAAAAAAACTTCTGTTTACTTCCCTTTTATCAATTCTTCTCCGTCTTCCGTTGAACAGCAAAAACGACAACAAACAAAAACAAAAAAAAAAGTGAATATTTCAACTATTGAAGCGGAAAATATAGCTGCAGCTAGGGTTCTAGATCTTCTAAAATTAGAGGAATTTTGAATTAAATTTTTTGATCGTTCTTTTGATTCTTTCTTTTCTTTTTTTTCTCCTTTTTTTTTT